CCCAGTCTGACCAGCCCCAGAGATGGGTATGACCCCAAGTAGGTGCCCCATCGTGCAGGAAGTGGCCAAGCAGCCTGGTGCCATTCCATCGCTGTCCTTTCAGTGGCCAGCATATTCCAGCTGAATGCCACCTTCTCCCTTAGCCACAGAGCAGCACCCATCGTAACTTGCTACAGGGTGGCTTCTCCCATGGGGTCCTTCAGAAGCCTGGCCAACCACTGTCCAAATGCCCACAGTACATCATCAGGCCTGTGTCCCCCAACTTGTCATGTGCCTGACTGCCCACTCCCTCCCCAGCTCTCATTCATCCTGAAGAGCCAAGCACTGGGTCCCATGTGTACGTGTGCCCCCAGCGACAGCAGCAATTCGTGGTGTCACCACAGTGAAGCACCTGATTCTTGCTCTCAGGGCCTCCTGCATGGCGGCCCTGGGGTAGGGGGCTGAGCTTCTGCCTGAGACCACCAGCTGCATAAGTCAGGGAACATTGGTGAAATCAGCTGGGGCCAATAGCCTATTCTGTTCAGATTCCTGCAATGAACCGGAATGGACTGTCACTTGCAGAGTACTAAACTAAATCAAGGGCTATTTCTGAAAAACAAAAAAGAAAAACAATAGGATTACCCATGAAAAAAAGAAAATCAATGAATTACACTTCTGATGCTGGAGGAAAACCAAAGCATTAAAGTGTTCTTTATGCCAAGTGTGAACTGAACTGACACTTCTGCCTGAGTCCTCGGCTTGGTTTTCCCAGTTAGAAGGGAACAAGGTGGTGTGAGACCTGGAAGCCATGCCGCCCTTCCTATCAGAAGTGTCCCCAGGTGTGCACCCGCAGTGGGCCAGGCTCAAGGCAGCACGTGGACATCCTGGGCTTGGCCTTCCTCTCCTGCTCCATGCTGCACCATGAGAGCAGGGTAAGGGGAGCCCCTTTCTGGGGGCAACAGCCTGACCACCAAGCTGGACAGTGCAGGGGAGACCCAGGAATGCCAGAGAGCCACGGCCCTGGGACAGAAGTGCCCAGTGGGTGAGCTCAAGGGTGGGTCAGGACGATGGGGAAGCAGTGCTGGGTCTACAGGGGCAGCAGCATGGGCATGGGAGGCGTGCTGGATCCAGGGTCCAAGGCCTGAGTCTGAGTGGCTCTGCTGGCACCTGATGTTGTGACCTTGGACCAATCACACATCCTTTCTGATCTCTGAGTCATTATGTGCAAAATGGGGCTGAGATCTCCCTGCCTGGCTCACAGGGCTGCTGTAAAGTTCGGAGGACTGGGCTGTATAGGAACAGGAGTCTTACTGTGCAGGTGGGATTCACAGTAGAGTCTGCTCGAGGGCCCCCTCCCCTCCATTGTTGGAGAGCTGGGGCAAGGGTGGAGGAGCAGGAGCAGGAGGCCTGAGGAGAGCAGCTCCCTGGACCCCCCCGTGTGTCCCAGGGGCCATGTGTGCACAAGGTCCATGCCTGTGTCCTGCCCCCCAGCAGGGCTGGGGTGGGTCTGGGAGACAGCGGTGCCGGGGGCTAGAGGGCCGGGGCTAAGTTAATGAGGTATGGATTGAGCCGCTGGGAGCTTCTCCAGAGCAGTGCCTGCGGAATCAATACTAATCCCTTGATCCCATTAGGGGCTCCCGTGGATCTGTGGGACAAAGTCTGTGCCTCCCTCTCTTTAGGGCATGCAGGCTCCCGGGTATGAACAGCAGAAGCTTTCTTATACAGCCTGTCCTCAATCCACTTAGCAAATTTCCTCTTGTTCTCCATCTGGTCAGGAACACTGACCAGGGCCTGTGTGATGTCGGGCGCTGCTCAGACTGCTGGGGCACTTGCCTCCAGAATTTGTGATGTTTGCTTCTGACCTGTTCAGGACAAGCAAGCTTGCTAACACCGCCACAGAGTAGTATGCAAACTGCTGAAATAGTGTGTTGTAAAAGTTCTCTGGATTGGGTAAAGATTGGTGGGGAAAAGTCGTAGAATTATAAAGCATGCTCTACTCATCAGATTGCTCCTTCACTTCTTGAATGCTTCTAAAGAAAACAAAATTGGAGCTTGCAGGCAGTGCGCTCTGGTGGGGCTGATGTCAAAGGTCAGCACAGACCTCCCCGACCCTTCCTCCATAAGGTAGCAGTGCAGAGAGCCAGCCAGAAACGGGTAGCTTGGATTCTGGGAAAATCACTGTGTATTGTGGGGAAATATCATCTTTTGAACAACTGGCTCTCCCGAGTTCCTTAAGTTGAAATGTGAGTAACGTGAATGCAACGTTTAGAAAGACTATCCACCTTAACAGACTCTTTTGACTAATCAGTTAGCTACTATTCCTGATCTTACTGGGTAAAAAGGCTTTTATTATCCTCAAGAGAGGAGTGGTGTGGATGGTCCTCAGCTTGTTTCTAGCCAATCTCTGTCTTGCACATGTGCACACACAATCTTGGACATGTTTTATACTCAGCACCTCCCCGGGAGTGAGCTCTGCAAAGCCTCCTCCCTCTGGACCAGGAGAGCGTCCTCTCCCACATTCTGGGAATCTGACACAGTGCCTTGCCCTCTACAAATGCTCAATTAATATTTGTTGACTGAAATTAAACAAGCCCTCCTCTTCGGGGACCAGGCATTGATGAGGCTTTCATTGGAACACCTGCAGGCTCAGCACAAAGCCTTTCTTTGCGTTTAGCATCTGTCAGGCTTGAACTCACCTTGCACGTGGCCCAGCTTTCCCAGGCCCAGCCTAACCAGCCCGTGTGCTTCACCCCAGCCCGGGCTAGTCAGGGCCTTCCCTTTGAGTCCCAGGCACCTCTGATTCCTGTTCACAGACAAATTCCTGCAGAGAGATCTTCCCAGACAAGGCCAATCTCCATGGGCTTCTTGACCCCTAGTCATGGCTCCATTGCACTGGCCCTTGTGCCTTCCCTCTGGCCCTTGACACCTCCTGGGCCCCATTTCCCTCGGGTCAGACATTCCTTCAACCTCATGGAGCCCTGACTGTCTTAGTCTCCAGCTGCTAAAGTAGCAGAAATGAAAATTCATTAGAGCTCTTCCAACGCAACCTCCACACTTCAAAGATGAGAACTGAGACCGGATTGGGCTGCTGCACACTGACCCAGCTGCGCAGCCTGTGCGGTGAACATTCTCCATAGGGCCACCTACATGCCACACAGCACAGCCCATCTCTGTCCACCGGAGGCTCTGCCAGGGGTTGGGGGGCTCCTCATGTCTGCATTGCAGAGGGGGAGATGCCAGTGACGGGACAGTCAGTCACAGAACCAAATGCCAAGTGTCAGGGTGGCAGTGGTGACCACAGCAGTCCTGGGCCCTGCTCATCCACAGCTGCACACAGCTGCTTGCTTACACCTATGCTTCCTCAAGCACCCCCTTCTCCCCACCCCCTTGTCTCCTGGGGTCTTGTCCTTGGGCTCTTTGGGTGTGGCCAAGCCTCTCCCTCTGGCTGTGGAGAGGCACTGACACTGGTCATCCCTACAGCCCCTCTAGGACTTGGCTACAGATCGGGGTGTGCACAGCGCCCTGCCCGCACCAATTCCCACGCCCCTGCCCCCTGCTGGCCAGCTGGCTCTCCCCCGGGTGGGGGGCGCTCTGTGTTCTGCTTAATAACCGCCTGGTAATTAGCTCCTCGATTTTGCTACTATGCTTATAATAGCCTCCATTAAAGTTATGGGGTTTTCAAGCCATAATGGCTTCCAGAGTAATTAATGCACAACTGGGTTTATTGCTAAGTTTATTTTTAGAGCTTTTCTCCCTCTCTCCCCCTCCCTTTGCTCTCATAGATGTTTTGACCAAAAAGACTGGATGGGCTCAGAATGCTCTCTGTGGTGCCCCTGCTCCTGCGCCTCCAGCCTTTCCGTTTTCCTTCCTGCCCCTCCTTCCTGCTCCAGCCCCCAGGCAGGTGCTGGGACCCTGCAGTGGAGACAGCTGTCACAGAGGATAGTGGCTCTGAAGTGGCACTAGTCCAGGCCAGAGAGAGCATCTGGCCTGCATATTTCCCTTGGCTACCTTCTCCTGGTCCAGGCTGTAGAGGCTTGGGGACCTCCCATCCCACACTCCTGATGACAGTATAGATGGCCCTGATTGGATTCTGGCTCCTTAGGCAAGTTACTCATCCTCTCTGGCCTTGCTGAATCCAGCTGTAGCAGGGATCGCAGTGCTACCCACCACACAGGGACATTGGGAGTACTGCACTGGGCAGGAGTATGTGAAGTGTCCAGCACCGTCTTTGGACATCCAGAGTGTTGCAGGACAGTTTTCTGCTAATGACAGCCTGTGTGGACCAACAGAAGGTGGGGAGGTGCCCGAGGCGGGAGCAGGACAAAGAGGTTACAGGAGGGAAAAGAGCAAGATGCACTGAGCTGGCATGACGCTTGCCTTCTATCCTGGGTTCTCTCCATTCTGGGACTAGAACCTTCACCCTAACCAAGGATCTGAGAAAGCTCCTGTAAGGGTCTCTGGGAACACAGAAGAACTCTTCTCCAGCGTATCTGCAGCCCCAGCCAAGCCTAGTGTCCCCATCCTTCATCATCATGGCTTAAGATCACACCAGCCAACATAGGGGGCCTAACACAGCGTCCTGTGCAGCCCTGTGCATGGCCTGGGTGTGTGGGGACATGGGCTAGATCTGAGGCATGTGACATGAGGTCACTCTACTTCTCCCACAAGACTCAGCCAGCATGCTGTCATGGGACACTGGGCTCTGTCACTTGCTGGATAAGAAAGGAGGAGTTTGTAGGAGACACAGCACACATAGCCCAAAATGAGGGCTCCCTCCTATGTCTCCACTATAGGGCCCTGCCTATGAGTGCAATTTAACCCTAATGAGGCTTCAGTTCCCCAGAGAACTGGGGACAGAGTGGGCTTTAGTGGCAAGGGGTAGGCTGGGGGATGCTGGCTGGCCCAGGAGACCACAGGTGCTCCTTGGTAAAAAGACACCAGAACCATCTGGAGAGGGGACACAACAAGCATCCTTCCTCACACCCAGGTCTCTGGCTATCCTCTTCTGCTCTCTCTTGCAGGTGTCCACCTCCCAGGGCTCCTGACCCTGCCCCTGGACAGCCACCCCTTCTTAGATTCCAGTCGGGCCGGACTCTCCAAACCTGCTTCCGCAATGGGTGGGTTGTGAGCGCTGGTAAGACCTGCTTGCCAACATTCAGCTTCTCTGTTGTCCCCATGCCTGGCCAGCCCGGCCCATGCCTTTTCTTTTCTCCCCTGTGCCGCCACCACCACTGTGGCCATCCTTCTCCTGACCTTACCACCACTCAGGTAATGAGGAGCCGTGGGCGCAGCCAGCCTTGGAGATGCCGAAGAGACGGGACATCCTTGCGATCGTCCTCATCGTGCTGCCCTGGACGCTGCTCATCACCGTGTGGCACCAGAGCACCCTCGCACCCCTGCTCACCGTGCACAAGGGTGAGCCGCCTGCCCGCCCCAGATTGGCTATAGCTAAGGTGCAGGAGTTCTTGTTCTTACTAAGCAGCGGGGAGGAGCCACAGGGTCATCAGGGCCATGACCTTGTGTGTTGTATGGCCTTGAGCCCCTCTGAGAGTCTGATGAAGCGGCCAAACCCACTGTTAAAGAGACGCCTGGGATAGTAGGTTGACAGACACCAAGGCAACTGTCTTGACAGAAGGGGGCTCTCCATGCCATGTGGGGCCACATAGGGAAGACTGGGTCAGCCAGGAGGTGGAAGGAGTGATGGGCCGGCACAGACAAACCCTATGATGTGGGATTTGCAAGAAAGAAACAGCAAGGCACAGTAAGCAGCTGGGCAGGCTCAAAATTAGATATGTTTGGATAATCTGCATGTGATCTAGGATATAAGGGTGTTTCAGGGAAGAGGGATTTATTGGCTTGGGTGGGAGAGGTCCACAAAGCAGGTAGTGGTATGTGGGCTCTGGATTGGTTAGTTTGCATGTGAAAGGTATATTTGCAGGCAAGTTGTTCAGAGTTTCTAGAAATTAGCTAGCCCTGGGAGGGGCAGTCCCTCCCCAGGTTTGAAAAGCCCCAAAATGTTACAGCATTATAAAATATAGACAGATTTTTTTAAACATACATGATTGGTACACACACACAACATCATCATGATGTGCAAGGCATACGACCACTTAGCGTTGGCTGGGATGGGGGTGGAGGATAGGATTTCTGGCCTGTTCCACATTTTAAAGCCTTTCCAGGAGACTGTGTTATTTGTTCCTCTTTCCCTATTTACGAAGCCCTGGTCTAGTCCTCCCTGGCGGAAATAGGCCTAGAGAGAGAGGAAGTCCCACGAAGAACTAGTAGAATCAGAAATAGAGCCACCTTGCCCTGGCTCTGAGTCCTGAGGTTGCCTTTCCTCTCGCACCAAGCTCACTATACTCCAGCCTTCCATATGCCCCACAGCTGGCTGCTGCTCAGTCCTCAGCCCTTGGTCTCACGCTGTCTTCTGCCCCCTGCCCCTCGCCCCTCACATCATGTCAAGATTCAATGCTTATAGGCAGGCATTCTCCCACTGTGTTGTGCATGTTACCTGGGAGCATAACAACACGGGGGGCCCCTTCTCCCCCCCCCACCAGCACACGAGGTAATGGGTCTAGTAGCAGCTGTGAATGCACACTGGCCTGTAACCCCAAGATGCAGGCATCATCCAAAGATGACAGCCTGAAGCTATGCCATTCAACACAGTCAAACATCAGATCACCCTCCCCTTCCAGCTCCAACACCTCTCTGATGCCTGTCAGTTCAGAATCATGGTTATCCTGCAAAGACAACATTCTAGAGGGCTTAACACTACTATATATAAAGTGATATAATACTGTGTCGATTGCATTCTTGGCAGAAGTCTAGGGTTGAAGACATCAGGCTGTTTTGCTAAGCGGGGACAGTCGTGCCTAAGGATAGGGACTTGGCATTCTGTGTCCTCAGAGCATGCCAAGAGGGACAGAATAAGAGCTGCCATTAAATGAAGTTAGGGTCTCCAAGAGGCTATTATGACTCAAAGTTGCAGAAGCCCTGAGGCCAGTGGGAAGGGCAGGGCACAGGTGGCGGCACTTTCCAAGGGTACGGGTCTTCCACACGCTTGGGATCATTTGGGTGGCAGACAGCTTGGGCAAAATGATTGTAAATCTCCTCCCCAGGCCTTGGTTTCCAAAGCCTTACTGACTGCAGTATAAATTAAACCTTATATCCAAGTCAGAATCCTGGACACCCCACCCTCTTTCCTCAGCTCTGCTCTCTTCACACAGTTAGACCCAAAATCCCTCAACTAGTTTCCTTTAACTACTGCAGTTGGGCTGGCAGTTATGTTCTGGTCTCCGTCCCTTCCCAGCATCCTGTCTCAGGCCTGGGTCACCAGCACCCAGCTATTGCCATGCATCTTAGTGTGCCGCCAGCCCTGCCTCCTTCTGGGTTCACCCGCAGGTGCCTCACACAAGCACCACACACCTGCACGCTGCTAATGACAGTGTCGGGACAGAGGGAGGTGAAAGAGTGGATGCTGCACAGCATTGTCCCCGAGCCCATGTGCCACCTCTTTTCATGTGACTTGCTCATTTCGACCTTCTATAGTTGGCCTAAAGCCATGAGGCTGACCACTGCCCTTCCACACATGATGAAATGAACAGAACTGTGCCTGCCAATGCTCTGACCCTTGACAGGTGTCGACTCATTAATCCATATAATAACTTGATAGATGCTACTATTAGCTCCATTTTACAGCTGCTGAGATCAAAGCACTATAGATGCTAAGTAATTTGCTCAAAGGCACGTATAGTTAGCAACAGAACTGGGCATGGTCTGAACCTGGGCGTTCGGATGTCCAAGTCTGTCCTTTGACCATTACCACCCTCCACTGAGATGAGGCAGTGAAGGCCAAACGATCATTGGTACATGGGTCCTTCAGACGGAAAGAACTTGAACAGAAGGAACTCATTGAAAGTGAGACTACCAATGGCCATGATTTCTCCTCTTGATGGGAGCGTTAGGCTGCACATATCCTAACAACTATGAGCAAAATCCACTGGAACAAAATGCAGAGGTTAACTGTGAAGTTCTGCACCAAGTTACAAAGAATTAATTATATAAGGCCAGGAGAGTAGAGGCCTCACTTAACTAAAGGGCTTGTGAAAATCTAGGGCAAGCCGGCCTCAGGCTCCTCTGGGAGTTCACCATGTGCTGTGGCCACGGCAGTACTAACACTGTGACATGCACACCACAGTGAGGCAGGGCTGCTGTGCTGTGCTAGCCCAGCCCTGTGCAGAGAGCAGTGTGGTCTGCTCAGGCCAGATGAGGAGGGCTCTGGGGTGGTGCGGATCATCCACATACTTTGCCATGTAAAATCCAATGCATTTAGGAACCCAGGGTGCAAACCTGAAATACAGTTAGCTGCCGTGAAATAACTACAGGGCGCCCATTGTTATTTTTACCTATGAAAAATTAGAAGTATGTCTGTATCATCCCTGGCATCTGAAGTAGACAAATCTCTGAGAGAATTCCAGGGATGCAGATTTCAAGCTTAGCTCTAGCAGGACCGAGGAGGAAGCAGGGGCCTGAGGCCCATACTGCAAAGAAGCCAAGAGATGGTCTTGACAGGAGGGGTGGCCTTGAGCCATGCATGGTGTGGTCAGAGCCAGGCCGGCCGGCGCTCTGGTTCCCACACACCTGTCTCCCAACCCTGCAGATGAAGGCAGTGACCCCCGGCGCGACTCGCCACCGGGCACGGACCCCAGGGAGTACTGTATGTCTGACCGCGACATCGTGGAGGTGGTGCGAACGGAGTACGTGTATACGCGGCCCCCACCGTGGTCGGACACTCTCCCCACCATTCACGTGGTGACGCCCACCTACAGCCGGCCGGTGCAGAAGGCCGAACTGACACGCATGGCCAACACGCTGCTGCACGTACCCAACCTGCACTGGCTGGTGGTGGAGGACGCGCCCCGCCGGACGCCGCTGACCGCGCGCCTGTTGCGCGACACCGGCCTGAACTACACGCACTTGCACGTGGAGACGCCTCGTAACTACAAGCTGCGCGGCGACGCCCGAGACCCGCGCATCCCGCGGGGCACGATGCAGCGCAACCTGGCCCTGCGCTGGCTGCGCGAGACCTTCCCGCGCAACTCCAGCCAGCCCGGCGTGGTGTACTTCGCGGACGACGACAACACTTACAGTCTGGAGCTGTTCGAGGAGGTGCGCGAGGGCAGTGGACGCGGGGCCTCTGGCGGCGGCGTAGCGGCGCGGGCCGGCCTTCTTGGGGACGGCCTCGCTGTGGGGACGGGACGCACACGTGGGAGGAAACTCGGAAGGGGGCTCCAGGCCGACAGCGGGGCGGGCCGCAGAGCGTCGCGGGAGGGGATGAGAGACGTCTGCAGGCTACAGCGCCCCCTACCGATAAGGGAACGCGAGTGGTGGTTGGCGCACGTGAGCCGGGCATATACAGACGCTAATCTGAATGAAGGCTTTGCAGCTGTGGGGATGGGGGCGGGGTCATTCATTGTGGCTACAGAAACCTTATTGGTAAAATAGCTTGAGCTTCCTTGGAGTCTACAGGCCTGTTAGTCTGGGGAAGAGAGACGAGTCATTTCAGATTCTCAAGTGGAAAAAACTAGAGGTTTTGTGCAAGGGAGAAAACAGCAGCAGGGTCATGTTGAAAAGATGATCAGCTGGTCTGAGAGGTCCCATCTTGCCTAGTACAGGTTCTCAGCAGGTGCCCATCAGCGGGCCAGTGCCTGGGGGCGGGGCTGGACTGCTTGGCGCCAGATGGCTTCAGACGGCCCAGCCTCCTGAGTTTATTGATCTCACCTGGGGGCAAGGGGCGTCCTGACTCTGGATCCCCCACTTGCAGATGCGCAGCACCAGGAGGGTGTCTGTGTGGCCTGTGGCCTTCGTCGGTGGCCTGCGGTACGAGGCCCCACGGGTGAATGGGGCAGGGAAGGTGGTCGGCTGGAAGACAGTGTTCGACCCCCACCGACCCTTTGCAATAGACATGGCTGGGTTTGCAGTCAACCTGCGGCTCATTCTACAGCGAAGCCAGGCCTACTTCAAGCTGCGTGGCGTGAAGGGAGGCTACCAGGAAAGCAGCCTCCTTCGGGAACTTGTCACCCTCAATGACCTTGAGCCCAAGGCAGCCAACTGCACCAAGGTAAGACCCCCTGCAGAACTGATGGCAGAGTGATGCAGGTGTTTCTGTGTTGAGCCAGACCCTTCCTACAGATCAAGGGGAAAGAAACTCAGACCTCACAATCGCCTCACCTTTCTGAAACCTCTCCTGGAAGGCACTGAGGGCAGAGCAATGCTCTGGGAGCCCCTGCTACCCACCACACCTAGGAGCATGCCTGCACGTGCACACCTAAACACTCACACAACACATACACACCACATACTCATACAACACACACAGCACATACACTCACACAACACACACTCACACCATATACAAATACACAGACAACACATACATGCACATACTCTCACATCACATACACACAAATGCACACACAACACATAGAAACATGCATGTGCGTGCTTAGGAACTCTTGAGAGTTGTCCGTTTTCTATAGCTCTCGACTTCATACTTTGAATGCATCACATGTGCAAACAGCAAGAACTTGGGATGGGTAGAAATAAAGAACAAATGAGAAAATCTCGCTGGAACAAGGGCAGAAAGAGAGGAGCAGGAGAAATATTTGCAGGTGTGGGAGGGAGCAGGGAGCTATTGGGCGTCTGGGCGAGGTCAGAGAGCTGCCCCACTTTGTTTTGTGCCCCTGGACACACAGATCCTGGTGTGGCACACACGGACGGAGAAGCCAGTGCTGGTGAATGAGGGGAAGAAGGGCTTCACAGACCCCTCGGTGGAGATCTGAGCCTCAGGATGCAGGTACAGGGAAGACCGGGGGGGGGGGGGGGGCTGTGAACTGGCAGGGGTTATGCCAGGTTTGGCCGCAGCATAAAGCTCTGGAGGCTTTTCCTCTTGGTATTAACTTAGGGGAGGACAGGTGAAATGTGGAGGAAAGTAGAGGTATAGCCGAAGTCCCCTTCCTGCTGTGCCAAAGGGAAGTCCCCAGGGGCCACTTTCACCAACAACGGGGTCCTCATCCACCAGATGCCTCAGAAGGCATCATCCTGACACCTCTTCACCCCATGTCAGTATTACGGTCATGCTGGCCACAACACCTGGGCCACTGTGGGGGCTGCTGTTTAGACCACTCACCCACTCCAGCCCCCTGAGTTGCCTCTCTCCCATTTGTCCTTTTTGTTGCTGTCCAGGACAGGGACTCCCCAGCTCCACACCGCTGAACAGGGCCCATAGTGAGCACAGGTCACAGTGAGAGGGTGGGCCCAGGGCCCACCTCAGCTCCCAGGCCTGCCACCTCTCACTGTCTGGCTTTGCTTTACTTCTCTGTGCCTCAGTTTCCTCAGCTATAAAGTGGGTCATGGCACACCTGTGACACTTAATAAGTCCTATATAAATCTTGCTACTTTGATTCTTTTAATCCCTCTATGGAAGTAGGATCTATCTGCACTTCACAGGTAAAGAAATGATGTTCAGAAAAGCTGAGTGACTTCTTCAAAGTGACACCAGTGGATTGTGCTGAGTGAATGGAAAGTCAATAATTTTTTTTTGGCGGGGGGGAGACAGTCTCATTCTGTAGCCCTGGGTTGAATGCTGTGCTGTCATAGCTTACAGCAACCTCAAACTCTTAGGCTTGTAGGACTTGAGCAATCCTCTTGCCTCAGCCTCCCGAGTACTTGTGACTATAGTTATATGCCACAATGCCTGACTACTTTTTCTATTTTTAGTCTCACTCTTGCTCAGGCTGGTCTCAAACTCCTGAGCTCAGACAATCCACCCGCCTCAGCCTCCCAGAGTGCTAGGATTACAGGTGTAAGCCGCCAAGCCCAGCTAAAGCCAGGGATTTTTGCGATCCTTTTCTGTGATTTTTATCATACCTCTGAAAAGCACCTTGTACTCCTAACTCCCTGTTCTAGGTTATTCCAGATAAAGGTGGGGGTTCAGACAGCAGGACAGACATCTGTCCTCTGGCCCTGAAACTAAACATCTTCTGTATCACGTTTGTAACCACAGGAGACCACAGGGTATCACTCTGCCTATTTGCTACCCTGAACTCAAAACCTCACCTTGGCTAGGCCACTTAGAGGGCATCAGTATGGATCCTTGCCGGCTCCCTGCCCCCAATTCACTGAAAGAACCTCCCCCCACCTGCCCTCAGAAAGGTTTCCACTGAGGCCCCCGGGGCTCAGGCTCTGTGAGTGCCTAGTGACCCTGCCCTGGGCCACACGTCACTCACTCTTCCTCTCCCCTCACAGGAGCCTCCTCAGACCCTGTTCTCGGCCTTCCATCCTCTCCCCCACGGCGATGGTCCCTCCAAGGCAGACTCTAAGGAATCACCAACACCCTCCTTTCTATTCTGGGGGCTTGTGAGAGCGCCCAGCCTCATGCCAGGACAAAGGACAGAGAATTTAAGCACAGAAATCCCAGACCTGCTGTCTCCATCCAATGTGACCAGAGCCTGAGAGACCCCAAGGGCTGGTGAGGGTGTAGCTGCCAGCAAAGCCGGTACCCCAGCACCCCTCCCCAGGAGCTGCCCGTGCTGACGGGGCTGTGGGAACAGTTGCTGCAACACTCATGTCTGCCCAGGAGTGACGTGGGGCTGGGAGGGGGTGGCAAGAAGACCCTGCAGTCAAGTGGAATGTGGCCTTCCCCAGCCTTCTGTGCCTGGGCCCAGCTCAGCCACGCAGGACACCCAGCCAGGGAATTCTGAAGACCAGAGCACAGCCCTGGGTGTCAGGAATGCCCCACCCCCTCCTCAGCACGTGCTCTTCTCAAGAGCTGCTCCAAAATCAGACATACCTCTCTGGCTCTCCTCTGGTTCATGTTTACAGAACATAAGGCTGTCTTTGATCCCAACAGGCACCCAGCCCTGCATCGGGGGCCTGGGTCTGCCAACAGGCTTCCCCTGTACCTCAGGCTGTGGTGGGAGCAGAGTCCCTTCCTCTGGCCCCACTTCCCTCATGCCTTCTCCTCCAGCACTGGCAAGGAGGTGGGCCCCAGAGCCAGCACAGGTCACCGCGAGACCTGGACTAAGACCCACGTGCCCCCACTATCCACACACTGCCTCCCCACCGCCCACATGGGCCCCTGGCCTGGACTGGACTGGGGAGGGGACGCGCCCTCCTGCAGTTTTTGAGAACCACAGACCTCAGGGCTGGAGGGGGGCCATGTCAGGGGGAAGCAGAGCTCTCCTCCAGCCTGGAAAGACAGGGAGGCCAGGGCAATTCCCCAGCTCCTTCCTGCCCCAGTCTAAGGAAGAGCAAGGTCTGGATTAGCAGAGGCACTTAGGGGGAGCGGCAGGGATTAGTTTGACACGGAGGGGAAAAAGACCTGAGCACACAGTGCTTTGGAAATCATTCTATTTTAAACACAAAAAAAGGGAATGAACATGTCACTTCTCCCTAAGTTGGGAGCACGCACAGCCAGTGGCCTCACATCCAGCTGCCCTCTTTCCACCCCAGAGAAAGAACAGTGTACCACGAGCTGCTCCATCCCCCTAGGGAAGAGCTCCTCCCTGGGTCTCCCAGGCCACTGGGAGGGTCCCTGGCTCTCTGATGGAGGTGATCTCACTCATGCTCCTGCAAGTTGGAAGCACAATTTTCCTCCCAAGAGGAGGAAAAGGAAAGGGCCTGAGCCTATTGAAGAGGTGTTTATTTTTTAACTGCTAACAGCCCCCACTCCATTAAACTCACAGGACAGGTCTGAGAACCATTTAGAACCCACTAGGGGGTGGGTGAGTGGGACTCAGTCCAGAGACCTAACACTCAAAATATAGCATTGGTTGCCTATTTTCAAACGGAGTTAACCTCCCACAGTATTCATGAAACCATCTGATGGAATCAGATCCTGAACCACTTCGCAGGACATTTTCCCCAGCCTCTTATACTTTGGATGTCACTTTGGAAATCAGTCCCTTGGAATCAGGTGGGGGTGGCACGGGAAAGAAGGGAGGAGGTGGGCACAGGGCATCCATCAGATGAGTGAATTTATGTCCAGGAACAAGCCTCATTCATGGAAACCAGCCCTGCATGCCACGGTCAGCTTGGCTGGGCTGAGGCCACCTGCTTAGCCAAAAACCCAGGGCTAATTTTCAGGAAATTGATAATGAACAACAAAATGGGGACCTTTATTGGCAGATGCTAAGTCAATTATTTTCACCTAATATCCTCTTTTAGATGCATGTATATTTATTTATAATTATAACCCTGGTGGACTGCAGCCTTCATCTTTGTTGGGAATGAGTTTGTTATAAACCAGAATTGGGTCCATGACAATTGTTTTCCAAACCCAGTCTGTTCCCTGCTCCCTCTATGGCAAACCCCACCAAAAAAGAGTAAGAGGCCAGGGGCAGCTAGGAGTTCTGAGAACCAGAGACTGGGGTGAGGGTGGTGCCCAGGCAGCTGCATCTGGTCTGTTTTAATTTAACTGTATTTAATTTGCTTTCAAAATTAAAAGTCAAATATGGTTTTTAACAGTCCTCATCCTCTTCAGCCCTACATCATTTTTGTTAATTTAACCAACAGATGTTTATCAGGTGCCGATTTTAAGTAGGCATTATTCTAGAAGCCAGCACACAGCGGTGGAAAAACAAAGCCCTCATCTTCAAACAGGTCACCTAATGAGAGAAGACGGGCAATAACAAATGTATTTCAGATGCAACCCGCTAGGAAGAGGACAGAGCCCATTGGTGAGACAGTGCCCTACAGGGAGGTCAGAGAGGCGTGTCTGATGAGGTGACATCTGACCAACACACAGCTCCCAGGGCTCCCCCAGGCAGGACAGGCTGAGTATACTCAGACATCAGCACAGAGGCCCATGTGGCTGCAACCGACTAGCAGGGGCTGAGGAAGTAGTGTGGGGAAGGCAGCGGGGTGAGGGAGAGGGAGGCCAGAATACGTCAGTCCGGGAACCAGGATCAACCCTCAGCTTCACAGACACAGGCAGGTTGGGGAGGTGGTATCTGCAATGATCCTGGCACTGAGTGGCGGTAGGCTGGGTGAGCGTGCAAGCTTTGGGGCACAGAGAAATGGTCGAATATTGGACGTGTTTAAGGGGTAGAGCCAGGAGGACTTGCCAGTTGTTTGGACGTGGACGGTGAGGATCATCTGAGACACAGAACAAAACTGCCTGAGGGATGGGACGGGGGGCGGGGGGGGGCAGTGTGACATGGAGAAAATTTGTTGCAGATGCCTGCTAGACACGTGCAGGAGAGCAGGTGGGGGGACAGCTGCCTGCACACCTGGAGCTCAAATGTGGACCAGCATCGGGGGCATTAGTGTCAAGCTGTTTACAAAGCCACAGGTGTCCCAGGTAAGACCCCCATGCATGAGTGTAGACAGAGGTCCCCCAGCATTCAGAGGCTGGGGCATGAAGAGGACCAGAAGAGACCATACAGTACAGAAGCTATGAGCAAATCGACTCAACTCTGCAGAATAAACTCCACCAAGAAGTGCTTTGCTAGAGAGGCCACGGGGTTAACTGTCAGATAAGGACAAGAATAAGAAGTTGGTGAGGGAAGGCCTCATGGTAAGAAAGGCAGGGCCTTCCTGCTCAGGTTTGCATAAAAGTGTAATTCAATGGGATTCTTGGCTTTACAAAAGGATTCACAGTAAGATGCCCTTAAATTCCAGCTACCTGTCACGTTTTCCAAGAGAATCCAACTTCACACATAGCTTCACAGTACATTCTCATTGCTCCCAAGTAACACCTGGTCCCATCCACATCTTAGCTCAACACTTGCTGTTCTGGGGGCAGATCTGGAAAAGCTGGAAAGATGGGGAAAAATTAAGGACACTCTCCACAAGCTCTACTCTGTTAAGCTCATCTCTGTGCCAAGTGGTCCCCCAGCACAACCATCTGCCCTTAATTTGCTCAGCCCTGGGCCCTGTGGCTGCACACCACAGGTGTCCCCCGAGCACAGCCACACACAGGACGCAAGCCTGTTGGCTCCGTGAGCCCCACAGCCAGCATCCCTCTCCAGCCTTTGCTGGGCTGCCAGCTTGTGCACTGTGCTGGGGAGGTGGGTGCTACTTGATGCTGGCTATGATGGAAGATAGTTCATTTGGGGCAATAGATGCCTGATGCAGTTTGTGAAGAAAAGCTCACCCCCACCACCTCCCCTCCACCAGCTAACTTACTGCAGCACCCGTGGCTGCCTGGCAGATTCTTACCCTTGCCCACCAGCACAAGAATGGGTTTGTTTTGACCTCTCCTCTCCAGGGCACTTCCAATCCAGTGACATTTCAAGAGGAATCCAGCAAATTGAGGAGGGGTGGCAGGAAGTCAGGGGTGCACAGCATCCTCCGCTGGGGCCAGTCAGCGTCTGCAGCCTTGAGCACGTGAGCCTGACCCCCACAATGCCCTCTCCTCTGGTTTAGGGTGGCACAGACAAAACCAGAGACATCACCAAGAGGGTTTCATGCAACTTCGCTTTATTTCGAGTCAGGACAGTGGGAGGAGGCAAACATTACACTTGATCTCCAGAAGGACAGTTTCAAATTTGGGCATGAAAACAGCTCTAAAGGAGGGCTGCCTCTCCTCCCTGCGGCATGGCTATGGGGGTGCAGAGAGTGGGAGGATAAGCTGGAGGCAAGGCCTGTGCTCCTGTGGCCACCCCGGCATTCCTGGGGCCACCTGCCCCACTGCACTGAGGTGGGCCTCTGTCCCCTCCCTCCCCAGATACTCTGCTGGGATCCACCTTTACTCCTGCACTGATGCCTGTCTTCATTGAGTAAAACTGGAAATACTCCCTAATTCAGGAAAAGCGGCAGCTGAGTATTTCTGTTCCTCGAGCTCAGCTTGTCATGCTGTCAGATGCAGCAGGAGTAGGAACAGAAAGGAAACCACGGGTTTCTCAAATGGCGTCTCTCAGAGTCCCCAAGGCGGCTCAGGGAAGGTTGTGAAGAAAGAACAAAGTCAGCTCAGGTGAGGCACCCCTCTTGCCTACCTCTACCAACAGTGACAAACTCAGGATTTCAGGAACACCAAGAGGCCAGGCCTGCCAAGTGCAGTCAGAGAGCTCACCTGAGTGCCGGGCAGGGCTGCGGTGAGTGGTGCAGGGGGAGATACCCGGCCAGTTTCAGCCCCTTTTCTGAGGAGCCCAGGTAGGGAGCACTTGATGATCTGATTAAACGCGCCCACCCCCATGGACACATCCTCCTCCCAGAGGAGCAGGGAAGTAGGAGAAGTACCATCAACAAAGCCAGGCTAAGAAACCATCTAGGTATGAGGGGGGCCCTCTGTGCCACCCCACGTTTCTCCTCAGGTGTAGGGTTTTGAACTGAGGCGGGGCAGACAGGAGCCCCTTGGTCCCTGAGGTTGCTACTTAAGGAGCTGCTCCTGTAGGGTAGTGTGCAAGGGGGCAGCCTACCGGGGCTGAGGCCACCAGCGCAGGTGGCACTCTCCGGGTCCCCAGGCACGAGGTGCAGGAGGTACTGGGCGGCGCCGCTCACTTAACGTACTGGTTCCTGCCTAGGTGGGGGGTTTCGGTAGATTGGATCATGGAGCCTGCCATCGTCTCCTCGAAAATGATGACCTGGGTGGAGAAGGGCTAGGTGTCAGAGCAGCTGAGATACGCCCTGGAGCCACACAAGGCCACTTGTCTTGAGGTGGCAGGATGGGAAGGGAGGGGTTTAGGGTTGAGGCTGGAAGGACCCAGGACCAACAGCCCATCGGCACCAAGGAAGAGGGAGGAAGAGGCTCCCTAAAGCTCTGCCTCCCCTAGGCCCTACCAAAGGCTCCTGAGGAGACAGTCTGATGCCAGGGAGGGCAGGCACGGGCAGGGAGTCTCGGGGGCAAAGAGAAGGAGGCTGAGCCTGTTCCCACCTGGTTGATTCCTCTGTCCAGCCAGGGTCCTGGGAGATACAGGGTCTTCTGGGGTCCGATGCTCCAATAGCGTCCAAGGTTTTGGCCATTGATGAATACGACCCCCTTCTCCCAGCCCTTCAAAGAGAGCAGGAAGGGAATCTAGTCTACCACGAGAGCCACCAAATACACAGGCACACAGGACAGCAGAGACAAACACACAACCAGGAGGGCGAAGGATAGGGTGCCTGTCACCTGTCCCCCTAGTTCTGAGCCTCCCAGGGACGGCGCCCAGGCTCAGACCAATGTTGGAAGCCAGGCTTTGACAGGCACCAGGTGCTGCTTCTGCTCTGAGCCCATTCCCGGGGTGCACAGGGGCCTTTCAGCTCGGGGCCCTGGGCGAGGGAGAGGGGAGACCCTGGCAGGTGAGAGGGGAGACCTACAAACCTCCAGCTTCAGGAAGGTGTCGGCAGGCGAGGGGCCGACTGACAAGCCGCCCAGGAAGAAAGCGGGAAGTGCAGGCGCTTCTGGGACAGAATTCCATCCAAACCTGAGAACAGCCCGAGGGACAGGAGATCTCAGATCTGCTCCCAGCCCTGCTCCTGACTCCTAAAGCATGTCTCTGCCCTTCCAAGGCCCCCTGCCTCTTACTCAGGGCCCAGGAATGGCAGCAACGTGGGACGATGGGGATGCCTGGTCTGCTTGGGGGGGTCCTAGGGCTGGTGTCACCCCCCCACCTCTGGCCTGTGGGTCTGTTCACACACAGCAGGGCCCAGGTGAGGAAGGTGCCATCCAGCTGCACATGAGCTGTGCACTCACACGCAGGTGCGAGGCAGGGCCCACCTCTGAAAGACGCTCTTTTTCATATCCAGGCTGTAGATTCTGAAGTTTTTCAGGGGAGAATCATCCAGATAGAGATTTCCAATTAAGCCTGTGAGAGGGAGGCAAGGAGACACCGGCAAGCCCTAAGGCAGGGGCAGCTGTCCTGGCCAGGCCAAGGCCACCTGGAAAGTTCTCAGGAAATTCAGGTACCGAAGTACAGGCTGACACGTCCACTGGCCCAGAAGCTCTTCACTTGGGGCAAAACCTTCCTAGAAGGCCCAAGGGGGTGAGAGTGAAGACCTTAGGGCTTGCTGGGAAGAAGGATGCATGAGGTCAGTGATAGAGCAGAGGCATCACAGGGCAAGAACAGTCCCCAGAGGTGTCACAGGGCAAGAACAGTCCCCAGTCCCCAGGGATACTCCAGATGACAAGAGATCACAGGGATTCTGGCCTAACTGTAGGGTCAGTGTCAGTTAATGGGGTCAATTCTCAATAGACCTAATAGGTCAGCCAGAAATCCTCTACACCACCTAGGATTGAAGACATATTTTAAAGTGTTGTGAGCAGATGGCACTATTGGCACCCAACACCGAGGTCCTGTGCATGCTGACTAGTGACTGATTAGCGCCTGAGGACTGGGCCAGCTGTGCTGGTCCCAGAGTGGCCCCCACGGCCCTCTTGCTCATGGAGCCGCTGATTTGCTACAGTGGGAATCTGGCAATTGGGGGACATGAAGAGGCTTCACAGGGCCTAGAAGTGTGTGACAGTGAATGACAGAGGACAGGACCCTCCAGTGAGGGTCCAGGGCACCCTTGATGAGGGTCAGAGGACACAACGGCAGAAACAAGGGTGAGGCCAGCAGTTCCTTCTGACCCAGGAGAACAAAGGAAGGACCTGAGGACAGGCCCAGGGTGGGGGCTCACGGGAAGGCAGGGAGAGCCAGAGAGGAGGACAGGGCAGCGGGTGAGGGCAGGGAGA